TCCAGTTCGTACAAGTTTTAACGAGGTTTTAACCAGGTTTTGACAATTACTTCAGTACCGATCACTATGATTTCTTTGGAAACGTGGTTCAGCATCAAAGCAAAACACAAATTACTCTATATTGCACATGATTTTAAACGAATCTTGGAAAAATAACTCCAAAACGTAAAGTAATGTAGTGTGTGCTCGATTTAACGAAATTCTGCGGAAAATCGGAAGTACATGACATGCCGTGTTTACCTGCACATGTACAAGTGTGTAGCGGACAAATACTGGAGCAGAGAAGTTGTGTGCTGAACCTGCAAACGTGTGGAGAGAAGATGGCATTCTAGTTCTTTTCTGTCCATCGTCGTCAGGTACAATCCGCTCTGCAGTCCGCCTTGTGTATCAACTAAACAGGTGGTCGACAGAGTGCCGCATGTTGAGGTTCAGTCGCTGACTCAGGTGCTGCAGTTTACTGTTACAAGTTGCCGTCTACCCAAGACTCTGTCCGGACCAAACAAGTAGTTGATATACGCTAGGATAGCGTGAATGACTGTCCAAAAGATTTGGCCGGTAATAGTATTTCACTACACGTGTATTTATTTGGCCATACGAGAGAACTAAAGAACTGAGACAAACCTAATACTAAGACTGAATATGCAAAATGTAGGGAAAAGGTACAATCACGCTAAATATATGCGGTATCTGAACCAGCTATGCTAAGACCAAGACACAAGAAAACGTGTTAAAACAACTACTACCTCCACGGAAAATACCCTGAACTCGGCCATGTGTAGATGTAATCATGTTTGTTACACGGACTTGTTCTTCTGGACAATTAGGCTGACTCCCCCTGCAGTCTTGCGGTCTGTGCCGCTTCCGCTCCCCAAAAGCCACCCAGATAAAATATAACGGTCATAAATAGACTACACGAAACAAATGGGAAACAGTGACAGAAGAGGAGATTTTGGCTATGTTATATAAAATAAAGAAGTTAAGGTACATTATACCTACTGAGAAGGAACGAATTCCTGTTGCAATCGCGGATATTCT